TCGTACCCTCTCGATGGCCGGTAGTGGGATTCTTAGTGATATCGATTCTTGGTATCACGTTTGCGCAAAACAACTGATACTAGAGCATCTATAAACCACGCTTCCCTCTAAATGAGCTTTCAAATGAATCAGTGAAACAGAAGGGCGCCCGAGGCGTGGAGTGCACCAAGGCAAGAAATGTAGTGCAAGCGTATGCTCGAAGCTTTCTAGCACATCCTAAGTTAAACATGAAATTGGTCTTCCAAGAAGTTACGGGCAGTGAAACCTAAGAAAACCCGCGTTTCCGAGAAAATGGCTTGAAGAATACCCCTCAAAACAGTCACAACGGGACTAATTTTTGAACTGCTGACCTTTCAGGAACGCTTGGGTGCTCGTTAGAAAGCTTGAATCCTGTAGTTTGTCATTATGTGTTCAGCTTCCTAAATGAATGACTTTGAAGGAAGTTATTAGGTTGGAAAGAAAGTTCTGCACCACTTTTTCTCAAATTTTCTTTTTTTTTCTGAAAAATTTATAGGTAACATTTATTACTAACAAATGGTAGAGCATTCTCGAGGCTTCAATCTATAATACAAGATGGGTGCAAGTGCTGCAGTCAGTAGTTATTTAAGAAAATTCAAAAAACCTCGACTAGTAAATCCACACTCCGAGTCACTGTCTAGTACAAATGTCTCCATAGCTATGGATTCGTGTCAACGACCGACACTATCTACAATGGCTTCAATAGGCATGCCGTTCACGGCTACAGCATGTTTCACGTTTACCAGTGCTTCTTTTGCTATTTTTATAAGGAGCCAGCAGTGTCCCGCACACTCCATTGCAGATAGGGCTCTCACGAAAGCTCCACTACAAATTCTTCGTTATGGGCATCGTCATGTAGGTGGAGGTGTAGGCTGCGAAACATTAAAAGCTGGCCGAGGCAGCTCTTCAGGAGCCCTCGTACCGCGACAATATTTATTTATTTCATGACATTGCAAATCGCCATAATCCGGAATTAGCGCGGTAAGAAATTCTGGAGCTCCGGCAAGTTTTCTTACCTCTCTTAGCGTATCCTCCTGCTTGAGCTGCCAATGACTGCCACCTATCCTAAGCCTTGAATCATCACCTTGATGGTGAAATAATTAGGCGAACAACTCCAACTCGAAAGTGAGGTCGCCTCCTTTCACGACCCGCACTCCGCTTGGTTTTGGCAGAGGAGCATCAAGAAATTTTTTGAGCGTTGGTGGCAGGTGCAGTGCGGTGGGAAGACGATTTCAAGATGTTCGCGGGAACAGACTGGCAGAACACGGTGACGACTTCTGAATGGTTCCAGATCATGGCCCGTTTCTCTGTTTATGTCAGTTGAATAACGGAAATAAATGTAAATGTAAATGAAGGCAGGTGGTGGACACTTATGGTATATATATGACCGATCGGGAGTTGTAAACAAAAAAAGACAAAATTCAAAATCAAAAACTTGAAAAAGTGTTGCAGGACTTTCTTTCCTAACCTAAAATGGTTGTTTAAAGGTTAAAAAGTCGCATTTGTACAGAAAAAAGTAAAAGCGTACTAAATTTTTATTAAATTAACTTTCGAGAATTTTTACCCATGGTTAGAGAGAGAATAATTTCAAAATTTTCAAATCAAATCACTTCGGGTAACATCCCTATATAATGCGCTATGGCTGTGTGTGTGTCTCTGTCTGTCACACTGTCACGAAATTCCCTAGCTCCTGGAGATCCGTCTGGAGAGAAAGGGTCAAGTGCTGGATGGGTGGCTCAGGTCT